TCATGGCTGAGGACAACGCGTCGTTCTCCACCGTGCCCGATACACCGGGCAGCGAGGCTGGGCCGCCCCTCCTGGCGCCCGTCCGGCGCCCCGGGGCCGCGGGCCGCCGGCGCCAGCGCTACGTGGAGAAGGACGGCAAGTGCAATGTGCAGCACGGCAACGTGCGCGAGACCTACCGCTACCTCACCGACATCTTCACCACCTTGGTGGACCTCAAGTGGCGCTTCAGCCTCCTCGTCTTCATCCTGGCCTACGCCGTCACCTGGCTCTTCTTCGGCCTCATCTGGTGGTTCATCGCCTACAGTCGCGGCGACCTGGACCACCTGGAGGACCACACATGGACACCGTGCGTCAACAACCTCAATGGCTTCGTCTCGGCCCTCCTCCTCTCCCTATCGGCTACGGCCACCGCGTCATCACGGACCAGTGCCCCGAGGGCATCGTGCTGCTGCTGCTCCAGGCCATCCTGGGCTCCATGGTGAACGCCTTCATGGTGGGCTGCATGTTCGTGAAAATCTCGCAGCCCAACAAGCGGGCCGAGACGCTCGTGTTCTCCTCGCACGCCGTGGTGTCGCTGCGCGACGAGCGCCTCTGCCTCATGTTCCGCGTGGGCGACCTGCGCGACTCGCACATCGTCGAGGCCTCCATCCGCGCCAAACTCATCCGTTCCAAGCAGACGCAGGAGGGCGAGTTCATCCCGCTCGACCAGACCGACCTGAGCGTGGGCTTCGAGACGGGTGACGACCGCCTCTTCCTCGTCTCGCCCCTCATCATCAGCCACGAGATCGACGAGCGCAGCCCCTTCTGGGACGTGTCGCGGCAGCAGCTCGAGAAGGACGACTTCGAGATCGTCGTTATCCTCGAGGGCATGGTGGAGGCCACGGGTAAGCAGGGGGCCTTGGGGACACCCCCCTGCCCGCCCTGGACCCCATCGTGATTCTGCCTGGTCCTGCCAAACCCGATGCCCTGGGTGCCCCTCCCCAGTGTCAACCTATGGCAGGACCAGGTGGTCCCGGCCACCTCCCTTCCCCCCATCCCATGGGAAGCTGCCGCCTGTCCCTGCTGTGGGCTCAGTCCGATGACAGCGACGTCCCCTGCTCACTGGGGCTGGTGGCATCGAGGACCTTGGGGGTGCAGGGGGCAGGTTATGGGCTGGCTCAGCCCCACAAGACACCTGGACCCCTCTCCGGGATGGCACTTGTGGGTGCTTGGATGGATGTGGGTGATGCTCCCGTGCCTCAGTTTCCCCATTGATACCAGCAGGGTAGCACAGACTTTAAGTAAGGGAGGTTATTGCAGATGTCCCCAGGTTGGAGTTGGGGTGACCTGGGTGCTGCAGGGACCCACAGCTGGCACCTAGATTCTTCCTGGGCTCTGGGTGCCACACAGACACCCCCAGCTGGGATTGGGGTCCCCCCCTGCTCCAAATGGGCTGGGGGTCCCCATGCCCCAGGTACCCCCCAGGCAGGACTGGGGTCTCCATCGTTGGGTGCCACAGAGAACCCCCCCCCCAGGGGGAATCGGGGTTCCCCACCCTGCCACCTCCTTTCCCCCCATCCCATGGGAAGCTGCCGCCTGTCCCTGCTGTGGGCTCAGTCCGATGACAGCGACGTCCCCTGCTCACTGGGGCTGGTGGCATCGAGGACCTTGGGGGTGCAGGGGGCAGGTTATGGGCTGGCTCAGCCCCACAAGACACCTGGACCCCTCTCCGGGATGGCACTTGTGGGTGCTTGGATGGATGTGGGTGATGCTCCCGTGCCTCAGTTTCCCCATTGATACCAGCAGGGTAGCACAGACTTTAAGTAAGGGAGGTTATTGCAGATGTCCCCAGGTTGGAGTTGGGGTGACCTGGGTGCTGCAGGGACCCACAGCTGGCACCTAGATTCTTCCTGGGCTCTGGGTGCCACACAGACACCCCCAGCTGGGATTGGGGTCCCCCC